TGATTATATATTTCTGATGACTTGCATGTACATGTATTGTATATTGAAAACAAAGAAGAATAGTGGTGGCGATTATCGTCATGTTGACGGGGAGAAAAAAAGACAACATAAATATGACGATGATGATGATGATGATGATTGTGTGGTACATGCCCAGGCATTCAGAGTGAGATGGTATAAAATCTATATTTATGATATTTAACTGATTATTTATTTTTTATGACATCATGTATAGTATGGTATATTGAAGAACAAAGACAAATTTATAGCTTTTAAATTATTTTAAAACATGTCTCCAAAGTCCAATGAAGCATTAAAGGGATCCGGTAACTTTGTCTCAGATTCTGAAATAAAATTCTGGATTTAGCTCATGATGCAATGATAATTATAAACCTTTAGGTCAGTCAGGAACCCCATGACTTTTACAAGCCGATCGCCTGTCTGATTATCAAGATATTTATGATTGGAATTACAAATTTTGAAAACCGTTCGCCTGACGGTTTTCATAACACTACAGTCTATTGGGGAAAACGAGTATGGTAAAACCGGTCACTCAAAGATTTTTACTTTTTTGAGGCACTTCTTGATCATTTTGAAGCGGGATTTTTTTTAGGGCTTCAATATTACACCATATCACAGACACTGATAACATGTATGGCCGTGTATCTCAGATTTAACATTGTTAAACGATCCCTTTAAGAAGAGCATTTCAAATAAAGTTTGATGTAACTGTTAAATAGTATCAAGTTTCATACTGTACAACCATGAAAGCTAAGATTCTGAAAAGGTAAAAACAAAAATTTGGCTTGGCTAGAACGATTTCTAAGGAAAATAAATAATAATGAAAATAATATGGGGGCAGTATGAGAAGATAACAGAGATAATGGATAGAGTGAGAGAATTGCAAGTGACGGGCATTTAAATGGGAATGCTGCCCACTGGCAAGAATATCATGTTGACATTTTCATATGAAATTGGAGACGTGCATCGGTACTGGAGTGAGTCTATTGAAATAGCTCTATGAACAAACACAATGATATTGGAAGAGTTTTCTAGTATTACAGTAACTGACAAGGGAATAAAAAACGATATGCAGTATCTCTTTCCTTTTACTATTTTCTGTTTCATCATTTATAAACCATAAAGTTGGAACAAATAATGGCAAATCTATGCTTGATATTACTTTTATCATCTTGAGATTTTTTAAATGTTGCACGCATTTGAAGAAAATAATTTTCGACATATCTAAAAGCATAATTTCATTTTTTCAGGTGCTGAGATTTTGTTAAATATATCTAGAGAAAATTGCATGGAAGTTATCACTACTTCAATAACAAAAAAAAGTCTGGATCTTTATATTTTAAATCAATTACAATTTAAAGAACAAAATGCCATTATGTATTTTTGTGTGGATCCATTTATAACGATTTGTTTATCTTCATGAATATTAATGATTTGTATTTTTAAGTGAATAAACGAACGAACGAATATTCACTAGAGAGCAAGGACTACATGTACTGTATGAAGTAGCTACATGTATGTAAATGTTGACAGCTGTTGTGTTTACATTGAAGTTGAAATCTTTCCTCCTTTTATTTACATAATGATTACAGTGTTTACTAAGCAATACAACACTGTCTAATGAGCTCACTGCAGTGTACTGTGTCATGAACTTGCTCCATTTAGCAGTCCAATGAATGAAAATGCTTCAAATGGAAAGATCTTTTAAAACACCACAATCACCACATATATATGTACATGCAACTGTAAGCATTGTATCTTGGTTTGTCATTCATGACTGCCCTGACTGGTTTATCTAATGTGGTTTATTATGTACAATGTAACTACAATTTTAGAGACCATTATCAATTACATTCATGCCAGGGAAGGATACAGATACTGTATAAATATTTACTTTAGAACTTGCCAGCTTGGTGGTGGCTTACACCTAATTTTGTCACTTCAAAAGTTTAAATTTAGTGATCAAGGTGATCGCGTCCAATACATATATATTTTATTTTCTGGATTTTCTCACTTTCTCTTATTTTATTTTGATTTAAGAATTAAGAAGTACTGATTACAATTGGCTTTAGCTGAGCTTCCATGGCAACTTAGGCAACCTTGAAAACATTTGGCATTCCTCAAATTTCTTCCCCCTGAGTATCTTTTCACTCCACCCGAGTCGAGAGTGGCAAATGCAAAATCATGTCTTGCCAAAGGATGTACCTGCCATGGCAGGGATTCTAATCCTGTACCATATTATCGTAATGCCTTTAGTGCAGTGACTTGTTCACTAGACCAAAGAATGTTGATCAATATTTACTATTGATAAATTAAGCTCAGTAATTGAATAGTATTGATTTATTGAATTTGGATGCATATACAATACAAGAATGATTGTGTCATAATATTCAAGAATATAGATCATATTGTACAAGATATGAAATGAATTTCAGAATTTATTTTAGTTCTCAATTATTAACTTGCTGAAACTCATCGGAATACATACATGTACATGTATGTTTTAGAAAGTACGGTAGCCACAGCATATTTTGCAGTCCCTACTTATGAATTGGAATACTATTAGCAATATAATGTACGTCATTATAATTAACATAATGCTTATGGCTGTAATACACTAACATGTATTTTGAAGCAGCCTTGATACTTAAAACTTTCATGGAAATGGATTTACAAGTTGTAATTCTATGATTCATTGTAATTGTTCAACTTATCAATTCAAAATCAAAATTCTTGATTTTCATCCAACATTCACCACAGGACAAGTTCACATTTAAGCAACAGGATACAAGCGTCTTACTGCAACAATAACACCCATCTGCCAGAACTGTAATCCATTCATGAACAAATCAGAGGCAGGCACGTTTGCCCTTGAAAGTTGAAATAATGACAGAAATGTCTGGCAGATTGTGACCAGCAATTCCATTGTGCGTACAAGGAAGTTTCAGAACATGTTGAATAAAAAGACATACAAACTCATTAACAAGGTATTGTAATCTGTCAATGAATGTATAATAAATGACTAATGAATGTAATAGCAAGTTGCAGTTGTTTGATTAATAATGATTATACAATAGTGATTTCTACATGTCTATGCATCAGCAGATCAGTTTGTTTTACACACAAAAGTTGGTTTTAAAGAATATTATCACCATCTTTATAGCACTCTAGTCTATACTTTATGTACTTTTTGTAAATAAATATTGAGACAAACTCATGAACAGTTTGCTCCTGAATGAACATGAATCCTGATATCTGTTTATTGATCTTAACCTATTCAAGTTTCCTTAGCATCTGAACATGGAACGTACAAGCAATCAAATGAAACCATGTTCTAATATTGTACATTTATGAATACGCAGACAGCCAAAGTTTATTTTTGAAACAATTATTACAATTTCTGATAAGTTATGAAAATTGCATCCTACATCTTTCTGTGTATCCACTTTGCAAATAGAATTTGGAACACATGGGAGAAGGAAAAAAACATCTAAACCAGATAAGTTAATCTTCTAATCTAGTAAGCCAATATCTTCACTCTGCCTATCCAAGGCTCAGGGACATGAATCATAAATGTGGATACTTGATACTGATAGCATGTGTTCTTCTAAATCTGATACATGCAGTGAATAAAGCTCATATTTCCTTCAATACAGAGTGCATGTCTATTCAGTACCAACCCTACACGTACATGTACACGTACATGTATAAATTAGGGAAATGATTGATGAGTCAAAGTACCAAATTGTCAAGGAGTCGTTAGTATTAGCATAAATTTATATCACTTTAGACTAAATTAAGATAGTGATCTTGGGAGTTCACTTTATAGTCGAATAATACAAATGATTTGAATTTCTTTTGAAAACAAACACCTACACTATTATTAGAAATTAAATTCAATATGTTTTTATTGTACAATTTGAATTAACCCTTGGCATAATTTGTAGTTGTGTAAGGAACTGTGACAGTGATTTACTTCCTACTTATAAGTGAGAGCAGTATTATATCAAAGAATAACAAATATGTGAAAGTTTGAGAAAAATAAAATATTGACACGCCAAAGTATGTTCAAGAAGAGTGTCAAGTCAACATTCTTATTTAATTCCCCTTGAAGTTGCTTGAACAGATCCAAGTTTCATTGATTGACTACATGTAACATTTTACATGGATTTGTGCCCACTTTCTGGCTACTGAATTCAAATAGCACCCCTTTAATACCCCTCATCATAAGGAAATGACGATTCTTGTAGAATGGCTATTGAGGTCTCCTTATAAGGACATGACCTATTTTCCCATATTTGGCACACAGTAGTGTTACTGTTGTACATCATCCAGATACTACGTACATGTAAACACTCAAACTTTTTGTAGTTTGTGACATGTCCAAATAAAAAAATAAAAATACTAAATTAAGATGATTGCCTTCTATTCTACAATCTTCAACTTCACTATAATGTACACATGCCATTTTTAATTCCAATGACAACATTTCTATATTGAAGCTTTCACAAACATGTAATTTAAGTCAATGCTTCCAACAACAACAAGCTGGACCATGACAACGCCTTTCCATTTTTCCTTATCATTATGAATGTATTCATACATGTACATGAAGTTTTTGTTAAGAGCCGGAAGGGCGTTTCCTACAGTATATCTATGTCAAGTGTTTTTTAGTCAAACCCTTCTGACTCTCCGCAGCCAAAGCTTCAATTACCATTCTAATATATGTACATATGTTATTATTATTGTTATTATATTAATAAAATCTCATTCTGTAGAGAGATGTAATAATATTCATTTACTCTTATACTCAATTTGAAACTAAGTCTCATCACAAGAATAGGTCAATATAGTTTGTATGATTTGTACTGTAAATGTTTAATAGTATGCAGTGGACACAATATCAGACTACAGTTGTACCATGGTTGTACAGACAGACAGACATAATCAATGGCACTGAATCTTCTCAGTCAACACACCTACATAGTAGCACAGTTCAAGGCAAGCAGATCTCTTGTCCCGTCTGGGCGGATGTCAGACTTGGCTGCATTCCTGAACTTGGAGTTTTTCCCGCTGATTTGGGGAAAAGGGTTCTAAAATAATGTCAAAACAATTTTTGTGATGATGGGTGTAACATGGCCCTTAATGTCTCACAATAAAATTGTACCTACATGAACAGCCCATCTGATTCGAAAATCTAGCACACAAACTTGTATAAGTTTGTAATGCAGAGAACCAATTGATACCAAGTTCACAATGTTTTTTATTTGATAAAGATTTATTCAGTTAGTTAATTCTTTTTTTGCTCTTTTTGTACAAGTACACTGTACATGTACATGCATGTAGTTTGTATGGAGAGTTCCATGCTGGTATCATAAATTACATATTTCAGCTTTAAATATTACTTCTGTAATAATAAATTCATATTCTTAATAAAGGTCAAAGTGACTTGTTAATGATGTTTTAAATTTGCATATTTTTCCCTTTTATGTTTTATAATTATGAGTCCTTTTTTATGGGGAGGGAAAAGGGGGGGTGTTGGTGTTTGTTTTAACAATACACAAGTTATTTGTTTGTAATATCAGACTGTACCTGTACATGTACTGTACCAGGAGTCTAATCTTGATTTTAATTACACATAGCAACTGATTTTCCCCTGATGATTTTCAAATTTAATCACAACTCTATGATCATGTAATCTCTTTGGTATTGGAACTTTCCTGTTTACACGCGCCTTGAGCACTCCACAGAGTGGATTTGGCGCGGTATAAGTTACATTATTATTATTATTATTATACACCATGAAGAATGGTATGATATTGTGGTAAGCCAACTACTGTTTTAATCTAAATAATAATGAATTGAACCTTAGCTCCTTTCTCATGTAACATGGCAGAATTCCAAATCTGGGGTTTTGTGTATAATACTGTGGTTTGAGTCAGACAATCTTTGGTAAGATTGGTTTTTGTTTCGTCATTCGACTCTTTCATGAATTACTTTCGCTGCCAAGATGATTCACCAACATTCCGAGATTGAACAAAATGTCAGATTACACTTGGTTTCAGAATCTCAAATAATTGCACATCAACACAATGTACCGCAGGTACATGTATAGCATCGAGGTTGGTTTGCACAGATTTCCCTCAATATACTGTACAGTGTACATCAGGAATTTTACAACACACAGGTATGGACATACATTCTTTGGTTTATAAAAAGTAGAACAAAAATCTTTTTGAAATGTTTAAATAACAATAATAATTTGATAAGAGCTTGTAGAATCTGTTTCGATTCATCTGAAAACATGAGTGTAAACGGATTAAACAGATGCTTGAATTTAAACAAATAAAAAGAAGATAAGATTACAGAACAGTAGTGGACACAAACATGTTTTGAACATGCAGCCATGATACACCTCCATGTGACCTACTAAAGCTAGACTTATGAAATTATCATCAAAATACTTGAGCTCACAACCAATCTTGTTAATGGATCAGAGTCCTTCAATGAGTCTTGAGGGGATTCCCCATCAGTGAAATGGCATTTAAACCATGGACATACACTGTCACTTTCACACTCCATCTTTAATGGCCCAAAACAGCCAAGTTTCAAACGCTCATGTTATTTATCACCTCCATTTTTACTGCAAGAAGTTTGTTGTTTATCATTCATGTCATATTTGTACAATACTTGCACACTTACATTTAGTCATAGACCTAATGTACCATATTGCACTGAGTACATACATGTACATGTACATGTAGATTCACGTAGGCCTACAGGTACATCGTAAGTACTAATATTGCACTGTTTTGCACAACTGTACAATGTGATGTCCTTGCAATGGCTTGTGTTCTACTAATTTGGTTTACCCCGGTGCTGGTTTTATGAAACGTATATGTATAATCAATGTACACCTAAAAGCCCACCTTGATTATAGACCAGGCTTATCATAACCAGCTTCAGGATTAAATTGCAAGTAGAAGGTGTCTTGTACTGTCTTGTCTATTTATACCAGCATGTAGGATCTATTCTATACAGTATATCTTGGTTTACATTGTACCATTGACCTCTCTGGTTATAACCTGATAGGATAGACTGTAGGATGTATTGCAGACAAGTGTGAATGCTGCACTACTGGCAACATTTGAAGCATGTTTTCAATCAGTTGATGGAAGGTTGAAAATGGGCATTGAAGTACACTGCAGATAGAGTGGTTTACACTGTACTTGCCCCCCCCCCCCCTGTTTCTATCTTTCTCTCTCCTCCCCCCCCCCCCCCCATTTACCCATCATCTAGATTCCATTTCTATCATTCTCAATCTCTTATTAATATCCTTTATCTCTCTCTCTCTCTCTTTCTCTCTATCTCTCTCTATCTCTCTCTCTCTTTCTCTCTCCCTCTCAATGCAGATAGAGTGGTTTACACTGTACTTGCCCCCCCCCCCCCCCCCCGTTTCTCTCTCGATCTCTTTCACTCTCTCTCTCTTTCTCTCTTTCTCTCTCCCACTCTCTCTCTTTATTTCACACAAACTACTTCATGAAAAACATTTCACAATCATTTGGATGATGCAGTATTCATCGCATTAGTAACACATACCCCAGGATTTAAAGGTCATCCTGATTGAATTAAATGTTATAGGCAGATCAAGTGATTTATAGCATTATGTCTCATCCCACTCTATCCTGCAGTACTTGACTGCAAAATAAGGAAGGATTATTAATACAGTCAAGCTTGCATATAATTGGGCTTCAGGTTACGAAAAGGAGAATCATCTATTGGGGTCAAGCCCTGCAGACAGTTTCCCATCTAGTTTTGGTTTCATCTCTGAAAACATAGCAGGACACAGATCATCTGTCTCATCAGGATTTACTTTTATTGGAAACATTGCTTCCTCATCATCTTGATCTAGGACTAAGAATCTACTGGACCACTGGACTATATATATTATAAATAAAATATCATAGGCTCATTGTGGGTTATAAAGGCAATTGTTTAGAATCAATTTACCTTTATAATGGTCCCCGATGTCACCAAATTAGACATTGAATATTATGCTGCAGAGTTCAAAATTAAACCCAATAACTTAACAGGTGCTTTCAATCACCAAGTTAGTACTTCACTTTTACAACTGACGGATGTTGCGGAATGCACTATGCCCTAGCCTACCACCATAAGGAATTGTCATCACATTACTAAATTTCAATCTCCCTCTAGACTATATGAAGGCAAATTGGAGAATTTTCTGGTGGGACAAAGGGTTCGCTGCTTCATAGACCTTTGCAAACACAGACACACCAATTCAACTAAAACAGGTATCAGCGAATTATGATGCAATACACATGGAGGGTGAATACTCTGTGGCTTTAAAAATGTTTAATGCTTGGGTAATAGTCGTTCATAACACAGAGCCGTGGTCATTAAACAACACAGAGCCAATAGGTATTACGCTCCCATGCGTACATCCGTGTGCTGCCCTCTATATATTACCAACACTTGAGCAACTTTAACACATGTATTGAAGAGAAATGCACTGAAATGCTTACCTTCATAGCAATCCCTGATACTGTCAAAGTAGACATAGTAGTGGTCTTGACTGAAGAAGAGAAGTGATAGCCAGGAGTCGAAGGAGTAGATGGGTATAATGAAGAGGATGCGTACTATCCAGCGCTGTTCACCCGGACAGGTGTAGTGGCGCAGGTGCATGTAAATCTAATGGGGAGAGAGAGCAAAGGTAAAAGTCAGTTCAACTTCCGGTAACATTTCATGATGAAGTGGCTGAAATAAGTACAGGACGTTTATTGAATCTTCTTCTTATAAAGTCCCGTCCAGTAAAAACTAATAGAACTCGAGCAGTGGGGTTGAGGGATTCACAGATTTTCATGGATACTCCTTCACAACAGGTTCCATGTACGGACTACGGATGCTATTAAAGTAAAATTTAATAGGTCAAGATCAATAAACAACTACAGGTTGTATCAGGATTCATGTTCACAATAACAATTAAGTAATTAACATTAATCAAAAGAATGAAGCAACTACAATTACTCTACCCGTACATATTGAATAATAACTAACCACAGAAAATGTCATCGAAAGGCATACAGTAGCACACAAACACTGGTAGAATGTTAACACTTTTAAGATTGCATACAATAACTCTTTTTTTGTCTATGCACACACAGACTTTAATAATTTATTCTCAAGTGATTGGACCAAGAAGACAGATTTTGGAAAAACAGGCTAATTACGCATTGGCTCATGTCATGTGATGAAGATCATGATCGAATTAGTTTTTAATCATTTTTCATGCAATACTGGTACACTGCATTTGGGTTACTAGTACTTGGATCGCAGGGAAAAAATTAATGTTTATTTTTCGGGGGCTACTTTTCAAGCTTGCCTGCCTAAAAAATAACACTCTAAAATTTGTTTTGCATTGAACTCTATGAAAATTTACTGGGGCTCTTTTCTGATTTTCGGGGGCAAATTCGCCCTGAGCCCCTGTGTATTTTTTTCACTGTTGGATCAGCTTATAGTGAATTAAACAAACTAACACAAAAAACCTTCATTTGGATGGCACAATATTGTGTACATACATGTATAAAAGGGATCAGTCAACTTTGAAAATGTAGGTTTATACTATTTTTGCACTAATGAAATTGGTGTGGACATCATAATTATGCAAGAGTATTTAATACCATAACTCTAACATCTAATTCCAGGGGAAAACTTTGGGGAAACATCTTAATCCAAACTTTCGATTACTTGAGACAAGTTGGCTAATGACCATTGAAAACAGGATGTTTTAATTTGTGGCAACCTACTCATACAATGGACTATGTAGATGTACAGTATACATACAGTAGGCATTACACAATTTGCCTGAAAGAGAAGAAATGTCATTTACCTTTCTTTTTTTGTCAGTTTATCGCTCCTATTTTTTCTTTCTTTTCTGCCCTTATCTCTCTCTCACAACAAATAGTTACACTTACAATGTTCTGACCCTCACTGCATTCGTCTTACATTCTACAAGCCAATTTGTTAATTTTAAAAATGTTAATTTCAAGATCTAGAGCATGACATGTGTGCCAAATTACCAAAACAAAATTGTGTCTACTATTTATAGACCCTACAGTTCTTTATTCTAATTGTTTGATTATTTGTCCATATTCGAAGATGTTGATCACCCAAAATTTGACTGATTACCATTAAAGTCTACGGTACTTCTAAGGCTATCAATATGCACAATTTGCAACACTGAACATCATGAAATTCATACTCAAGAGTCATAGAACTTAGACCAAAAATTCTGTCTCTTTCGTTCGTTAGCCTCTTATTTGGGTAGAGTCGGGGGCCTCACTTTGAAGATTTGTGTAGGGTTGGCTCCTCACTTTGAGGAGCCGACCCTACCCAAATAAGACTCTAAGAGGCTTATTAAACGAAAGAAAGAGACAGAGAATTTGGGATAAGTACACCTGTACTACCGACATCGTCTTCATGACACGTCACTCGCTAATTTAAAAAGGATGAGCTAGATTATGATTCTGGAGAAGGTGGTACCTCCAAGCAAGGAGGTACCAACCTGATTTTTAAAGTTTTTTCATGACTTTACCTGATAGCATGTGATAATGAAAGCTGCCCAAGCAAAGATGCCTGCCACTGCCTTTGCTCCTTTCGTCTGCAAGAAAATGGCATGAACGGACGGTGGCAACTCTGTGGGTGCTGGAGTGCTCGACCCATTTGGGAATGGTGACGACAGATTATGGGCAAGCATCGACACAACTTTAGTCAAAGGGGCGGTTATTCCTGCAATGGTTGTCGAAGAACCAGGGGAAGATCCGTTTCCAGAAGACATCCTGATGTTGCAGATCAAAGTCAAACTTCATGGAGCTTCGACGCGAAACTCTCGAGGAAGGGGCTAGGCTGCGCCGCGGCCGGGGAGACACGGTCCGTCACGTACGCTGTCAACTACTTTCTCAAGCAGCTGCTCGACTGCAGCTCAATGAACCGAGTAAAAAGTAACGAGATCGACCTCTATTTTAACCACTTTCAGATGGTGATTCGGTTCTCAAAGAAGTATTTCCTCCAAGAATGTAAATGTCGCGATGATTCTGATGATCCAAATAACTTAATCACTGTGAAACAAAGGATTAATATCAACGATATGTTCAATGTTATTTATTCTGCTCTCGTATCTCTCGCCATCTTTCCAACATTAAAATAAGTTAACGCATGCGCACACTACTGTGCCACGCGAGTGTGTTTACGAAGTGCGGTTATCTTTATTTAGGGGAATCACCAAAATAACTGTTTGGTCATGGGATAGGTATTTCCATGTGACACTTAGTAAGTTGTGCGAACACGTATCTTATTTGCTCTAAAAGAAATTAAGTTCTATTGTGTACCATCAGATCTATTGTATATTATAGGAAAGAAACAATTACTTTTCTGACATTTATACAGATCGAGCTTCTGAGACTATTATGCATTATAAAATATATATTTTAAAATTATATTTTAATTATGATTTTCTATTAAAACCTTGACTTTGCGGCTGACCAAACTTCAAGGGATTTACCAGTTCTATATAAAGGCTGTTTGAAATGTAATAATGAAAGTAAAATCAACTGCATTCTCATTATATTTCTTGAAAAAAAAGATATTTACAGAGTCAACATGTTATTTTACTCCCTTCATACAATTTGTAAGTTTTGGAATACTCGAGTGACACACTTAGCATATCATGCAAGCAACCAGGGAAGGGGCATCGATGGGGGAGGGGCTGCATTAGTCCCCTTATAAGTTTCTTTAAATCAACTGTGTGCATTAAGTTGCAGTTTAAAATGCAGCCCAGGCCCCTCCCCTCCCTCCCTTAAATGAATGAACTAACACCCCTGCTGGCAACAGTTTATCCATGAATTCTAACCCCTCAATCGTGGAACTTTCTTGGGGCAGGTTTTTTCTTCTGATTATTTTATTATTAGATGGAATACAAAAGATTATATTTTCTATAAAATTGTGAGGCAAATAGAAAAGTGTCTTTCTCTTCCTGTTGAGGTACCATCTCTTGAACGCAATCATAAATAAGATCTCCTTTTTATATGACAAATATTTGACCATCTTCATTTTGAAATATCTAAAATTGAATATCAAACCGAGCATGACCTAAAAGTTTGTAAGCGACAGAGGGGATATATCCCTACTCCGAGTGCACTTAGAGCTGGTCAGGGCCAAAGAAGATTACCAAACTTTCCCACAATTTAAAATCACATATTTGCCAGCCCGAGTTTAAAAGAACCGTCAAATGAACATACAGTTAAAGCCCCTCTAGTGTTGGAAGCCCCAAACATTTGAAGGCAAAAATTTCACTTAAATTGTATCATAATGTGAAAGAAGATGTCTTTTAAGACACATTTCTGCAAGGATTTTCAAAATATGTGTTTGAAGTCAATTATTGATGAAAGAATACAACATTTAGGATTCCTGCAAACAAAAAACACAAATTAAGCATTCTTTTATCAATATTTGTCTTCAAAAACATTTTTTGGGGAAAATCTTTGCAGATGTGGATCTTAAATAACATCCTCTTTCACATTAAGATACAATTTAAGTGATATTTTGCCATAAATTTTTTTGGCAAATTCTGGGCTCCCAACACTTTATAGGGGCTTTAAACACTTGTTGAAAGCAAAATTCACAGGCACATACCAACACTAAGAGGCAAACTGAAGCAAAGTACACAGACAAAGAGATATTTTAATGTCACATTTGTTTATTTCATGATGCACTAGTAACATCATATCCTCAGATTCTGTTACACACATGTACAATGATTAACAAAAATATGGATCCATTGTACAGCGTTCTTTACCAGAGAATTTCAACAACTAAACTAGCCAATTCTAATACCACATAAATATGGATGAGACAGAATTACATTTTCTGTGAATGATCACATGCACACAATTATTAATGTTTATTTGATAATAAAATACATGCCCATGATTGGAAATGGGACTTAATAACAAAAAGAACATCTCATAAAATATCGGTTTGTTAATAGATGGTTAAAGATGGGCAAAGAAAAATCTTGAAATTTCTCATGCAAAGTCTTTCAAGACATGTTATTTCTTGCTTTCTTTAATAAATACCTGGTATATCAAGAGTCTTTCAAAATATATGCCAAAAGAAGATAATACGTACATGCACCTTTGTGAAACCATATGACTATCAAGGGTTGTATAATAAACTACTTTATCTATATAGTTATGTTTCTTAAAACTAATAACAGGATGCAAATGGAAAGAAAATCCTTCGGAGTTTGGCTTCTAAAGAATTCCTGAAACAGTTGTGTGACAAGAGGAAACAGAAAATATAACAGAAGCTTTTAACAATTCACACATCATCCAACCCTTTGCTTGTTGTAGAAACATTCCAATTGGTTGCCATTAGGGCCCATCACTAACAGGAGCCTGGGACACATGGGCGCCAAAAATTGAAGTCCAGACTCCCTATATTTTTACATAGGGCTCATGCATACATATTATAAAAAGTAGCATCTGGACCACCTTCCAAAGAAGTTAGTGTGGCGTCCAGGTCGTTCATAAAAATACCTTCATAATAATAACCTGCATAATAAATGGAATGTGTGGACTTGCATTAGATCAGTATGTTATTTAGTAGCTGCACAATAGGTATTAAATGATGTGAGTTGCCCCCCCCCCCCAAAAAAAAAAATCATAATTCATAATTGACTTACAGTTTGATATTCAGAGTTCTAAGCCAATACCTAAACCAACACTGCAAAGAACTTTCACTAGTATGACATAACAATCACTGAGGAGGAAATAACTTCCTGATGAGGTTAAGATTTGAAAATTTTTAAAAACTAGTTTTACCGAGTATTTCCAATGTGTTTCTTCCACCTCTCCTAAGGGTTTATGACAGCCTGGCATATCACAATATTTAATGTACAGATTATTACATTATTCTTTGCATGGTCCAATTGCATAAAAATTCAAATTATTCTTTTGAAAAGAGAAATGTAATACAGTATATTTGAAACATACTACTCGAAGAAATTCCATGCATATTAAATCATAACAATTCCAACATAAAGAATAAGGGAGGAAACTTGATCGGTGCATGCTTCCGGAAAATTGTCAAACATGTCCCCATATTGTCACACTTGTTGCTGCCACAAAAGCTACCACAACTTCTATCCAAACTACCTATTGTTCCCATTGTTGTGAAGAGTAGATGTTTCTTCCGCAAAAAGTTCATGTTGCAGCCATGTTACCCCAAAATCCTGACTGTTGTTTGAAGTTGACATCATTACTCGGATGTTTCTTTCTTTTAAAGTTGCGCACTAGTTTGAAGAGGCAATCTTCTTCAGATTCCGGTTCAGCTGAAAGAGAATGAGAAAATCAACGGGTCAATGTCTATTTTCAGCTAATGCCCACCACACACTATAAAATCCATACTAAGATCCAATTTTGAAAGAATTTGCAATTCCATTTGATAACGATCATTCAAACATGTAAATCTTAATGACCAAGGATCTGTCTTAAGATTAAGAAAATCTCAATTTCAAGAGATTTCATGCTTCCTTGGAAAAGGAAAAGCTAAATCGGCTCAGAATCGTGGTGACATCAGACCAGTAGTGGTATTCTAGGTGAACATAGCTTGGTATACTTTAAAGATCAATTAGCAAAAGTAGTACCCCCTGAAAATGTAATAATTGCCACACTAGTTTTGGATGCACTTAAGCCAGCCACATGGAAAAGCAATGTATCTTGAAGATATATTTAACACTGATTTTTTAACTGCCCAATAATTTCACCTAATGCTTTGAATTGTTTACTGATATTTTGAATTATTGTATGATTTTAAGACTGACTTACATCATGGAATTTGTGAATTTGACGAATGAAAAAATCACCATAGCGACGGGCCACCTTGGTATCTGCAATGTGGATCATCTCCTGCAAGATAGAAGTATAAAACAGATCAACTTTCATTTTCGTGTGTGCGACGAGAAAATTATGACAGAACAATTACAAGATTATAATCTTTGGGCAATCACATACTTCTTAAAACTTAAAGGGACTTGTTAACATTGTTCAGATGAGAGAAAATATTGCTAAGGTAGTGACATCAATGTTAGATATACAATTAAAGATAATCTAAAATTTTGAGTGAAAACAGACCATTATTAATGATAAAAATTGGGAAAAACTTATCTGATGGATTCCTTAATGCTCCCAACTAGGTTATTACAATTGAATTACATTTTAGGTGAATGTAAATCTTCACAAAGCTATGTATTGGTTCTATATACCATCCCAGACATTTAAGTGTGAAAAGATTTTAAAAGCCTGTCTATTGTCTTATTTTCATGGAAAAAACGGTTGTAAAAATTCAAAAATGGTTAGTGAATTTACTGTTAGAGGGTGTTGACCAGTGACACCTTCAAAGAAAACTGTAAATATCTTTGCGGTTTAAGAATTTTTTCAGGATTTTTACACGCTAAAGGGTCAGTACAGTAAAAGGAATATAATAAGTAACATTTCATACAAAAATTACGCATTTTTTTTTGTCAACCTTCAACAATGATACAGAATCACTTTAAAACTCAAGAGACTATGAATTACAGCTGTTTTCACGACATGGAACTTTGCAGATCTCGACCACTCACAACATTAAAAAGTTCATGCAGGAAAAATTTCAAGTTTTAGAGTATATTGACTAAAACGAAATCAATGTACTATATCATTACTGTAATTAGATGGCTTTGGACAATTTGTGAAATATATGAAAGGAATTTTGCACAGGCTGTAGGGCTTTCAATTCTACAGGACAGTGCCTAATATATTAAGCCTAATAGATATAATATCAAATTTCATCATAAATTCTAACAGCCCCATAATCTATGCAGCTTTTTGTAGTTCATTATTTAAACATGGGTGTATAGTTTTTCTCTTTTGATAATTAGAAATTAAAAATTGACCCCATCAAAGAACTTTTAATTATGCAAAACATAAAACATTTTCCTTCCTGCGGAAATAGTTACATATCACTTTGTTCATAGATAGAAAAAGAGAATTTGATATAAATATATTTCAAATAACTCACTCATCATCACTTACTTCTCTGCCACTAGATATATTTCTCATGAAATACTACTCACCCCGTCAATGTAGAAGTCTACCTCTGATGCAGACTGAAACTCTCCATCTAGACCGCTAGCCCCCTTGGTCCAGACCAAGTTCTTCATTTTGTGCTGCATAAAGAATTAAAGGTAAAGACCGGTAGTGGTGAAATTGCGATTCAAGGGTTTAGGGTGTAAAATATCCATTCAATATTGTTTAAATATTGCCTTCAGAGGTTTAGATGGCAATACTTCAACCTAATATCACAAAAAACAGAAATATATGCCCAAATGTTGAAGTGCATTCGCGATATCTATCCAGGCCGGTTCGATATAATAATTTACCAAATATATCAATTAGTAGGCGGTTTCCCGGCAAAATTTGTATCATCACGTATTAGTCAAAACATATTCTTTCACATGATTGGTATCACGAGCTTAGATTTCATTTTTAGAGAGGGGGGGGGGGGGTGTTTCCAAAACTGGTCTATACCTTCACCAATCAAAGAATGTTATCAGAATACGTGTGCAGCAGGGATAATAAACTTGTGCATTAGTTCAGTCGGATGAGAAGACAAAGATGATTTTCTTGTATGTTGAATATCTTGAACGACTTATATGTATATCCTGTGTACTTCGGGAATACATATATATGCATCAGGGAGAAAATGGCACTGAACAATTAATTGAAAGTCCAACAAAGGGATCGTTTCACCCCAGTCAAATTGACAATAAACCAAAGAATTTCTAGCTAGTGGGGGGGGGGGGGGGGGGGGGGGGGGTCTGAACGATGATTTTAAAGGAAAAAAATTGATTGCAGGTTGAATGTTATAAAACCTTTGTCTTCATATCATTCCTGTGAAAAACTAAATCAAGGCATAATAGTCCCTCATACACAGTGTGGGAGCTAGCTTTTATGCAATTACTTGCTTACTAAAAAATACAAATTACTAACAAGGATTGTCTACAGCTAAAAGGCATTACAAAAACTGTCTGAGATTCAAAAGAAACAGCAATCAGATACAGGTGACAATGGTGCGCAAGATACATACCTTGAAACAGAGAAGCTTTGTGCGGAAATTTTCCTCACTCTGTAAGAGAAAATGTTTACTTTATTAAAATCATATTTCAATGATCTCTATTTGGAAGACAGATACTGAAACATGAATACAAAAAACAAAAATACATCACAAATTTTAATTTACTTGTAGATCACAATTTGATTCATGTAAAGTTTGGAAAGCCCGTCTGTACTAGTTTGGTCAGGAGGGATTAGATCACTCAGCGAGGTCACTGCCAGGTGGCTTTCTCATCAACTCAGCTCTCAATTAACACAAGAAAAAGAGGATCATGGGGGACCAACGGGCACCACTTAGGCAAAACGCAAAACAATATTTACATATTTTGCATGGAGTCAAGTACATAAAACTAAAACATTACATATTTCTTCTTTTGGTCAACCTCCTCTTGGGTGATGAAATGAAATATCAGGATTAACATCATTTAAAATATCACTAATATATCCAACTCAAATGTTGTCGGAAAGTCAACAATAATCTTACCATGTCCAGGAAAATGGCCAGCTTGGAGACAGGCATTGTGGTATACAACTTCAAGAAACTTGACGGGGAAAAAATTAAAGAAAGTTTGAATTATATTTCTATCAAGCGTATATAATTGGAATGGATTTCATATGCACTAAACTAAAAGAATGTGGAGAAAAATAATTTCCTTAACAATTATCAGCTTCTTCATCATTGATTATTACAATCATATATCAATAGCAAATATAGCACTGCCCTGAACTAAAAGTATGTATAGCCGTTTGGTCTATGACCAGTTCGTCTACTACCCAATTTGTCTATTCCCCAATGGACAACTTACTATACACATGGTCTAATAAGCATTTAATCATAAATAATAACCATCATCAAATAATTATAAGACCTTATGGATGGTAGACAAAATGGGGATGAGACTTAATGGTTATTAGACTAAATGAACTATAGACCAAATGGGTAGTACACTTGATTGGAGATTAGACCATATGGAAATTAGTAGGATGACTATAAGCCTAAATGTTCAAAATGATAAGTAGACAAAATGAGCATCAGACAAAATGGGAATTAGACTTAAAGTTTATTAGACTAAATGAACTATAGACTAGTAGAATAGTAGACTGACTGGGTGTAGACCATATGGGAATATATCCATTGGGTAGGAGACAAACTGGTTGTACAGTCGAACCAGTCTACAGCGACCGCCCAAGGGAATCACAAAAAGTGGTCGTTGAAGACAGGTGGTCTTTGTAGACAGGTTCCTTTAGTACATTATTCAATGAGAAACCATTTTAAAGGGAAACAAAAAATGTGGTCTTTCAATTTCAATTTCAAATTTATAGACAGGTGGTCACTGAAGCTTGACTGTAGTTCAAACGGCAATTCACCAAAAAACCTACCTCCTGATGGTCTGAATAACGAGCTGTTGGTTGACCTCCTCCATGAAGACCTTGACCTGGAGGGTGAAGGGCTCCTTGCTGGAGCTCGGGTTTGCTTCCTCGTAGTTTGGTGGGACGGGAGACAGGAAACGAGGGCAGGCAGAGGAGAAACACTCCTCAAAGGTGGCCACATCTCTGCGGAGATCAATGACACATTGTGATCATTTAACATTTACAGTGAAACCTGTCTACAAAGACCACCCAAAGGAGACAAGAAAAGTGGTCTTTATAGGCAGGTGGTCCTTATGAACGGGTTTCTTTAGAACATGTTTCAATGAGAAACTATTTTCAAGGGAAACAAAAAATGTGGTCTTTGTAGACAGGTGGTCACTAAAGCAGGTTGGACTGTATTACAATGATAATATGTTTAAAAAAATGTTATTTCAGAAGGTTGCAATTCCCCCACCAAGCTTGGGCAAAATAATACCATAAATATTTAAAGAAGAAATTGCCAAGCCAGTGCCTAACATGTTTCCAAAGTCCTTTTAGCGTTACCTTGTGTAGTTATATAAACCTGTGGACGATTTTCTTTCCCTTCTCATTCCCCTTAAATTAATACAGGCACCACCCAGCTCCCGACAGTAATGGATTCAAGTTGATTAGATCGTACATGTATATCTGGCCTGATCCTTCCATCCAGTGCTGCTGATCAATTGTTATATAAATAAGTAATGATTTCAGTTTTCCCTCATATAATCAGAAGTATATTCAAAGCAGGACTCCACTACTTATAGCTACTTGTGTCCTCTATATAGCCACCAATGCTATTGATCCCTCATGGTCCCCTTTTTCTTATGTTAATTAAGAGCTGGGGTGGTATTCTGAACATTGTTGTAAGTTTTGTGTTATCTTTTGTTGTATCTTCCAGAGATAACACAGCGCTAATATTGTTGTAAGTTGGTATTCTGAACATTGTTTTATCCCTGTGTTATCTCTTGAAGGACCGCCTCTATCTTATCTTTGACCATTGATGACACGCCCATTTTCATGGACCCTACCAATCAAAATCTATTTTATATAAGCATGATAAGTAGATCAACCAATAGGAATACTTTATGCCATATCTGAAGATGCGCCTAGCGCATACTAATCTTGGGCGTAATTAGTTATTTGAGCACTTATTACGCGCGTCATCATTATGCGCTGTTGAATGTGGATCATGAAGACAAATCACGCTTTAACTATATTGGTTAAGATGAGAGCATTAAAATAGTCCCATCCTGGCATGTAATATCTTGGAAAGTTCTCATCTGTGATGTTTCCGGTCAACACACAATCTTCTTCTAACTCGTCTATTGGCACGAAGTTGGTTCTGGGCAAAAAATATTGCCGCCATTATATCACCACGAAAGATACAACAACCCCCTACCTGTTGTAAATATTGTTGTAAATACCATGCGAGATAAGATAAGATAAAAGATACAACAACTTTCAGAATACCAATTATCTCGACATATTATCTCCCGTGCGCATATGCAAATGAGGATTAAATGCCACTTTATTAATAATACGCACAATTACAAGCGCACCAAAGTATGAGCGCAGGCGCGGCCAATAAGATGAGAGAAAAGATACAACAAAAGATAACACAAAAGTTACAACAATGTTCAGAATACCAACTTTATCTTATCTTCAAAGATACAACAATATTAGAGATAACACAGGGTTCAGAATACCGCCCCTGATTTGATGAGATAACCACCTGCCAGTGACCATGCGGTGAGGTCTGATCCCTCCTGGACAAACTAGTGCAGATAGGCTTTAACTCAAAAGCCTTCCACATCACCTTCAAAAATAGTGTAAACTCACCCTCTCTGCATCTTTGTTAGCTTATCACCCAGCTTGTCCCTAAGCTGCATGTGCACGCTCTCATCAATACGCATAGGATGCAGGGTGAGTACCAGGGCCAGAAGCCTGTAGATCTTATCCTGAAGCTTCTTAATCTAATATATCAATCAGGAAAAGAGAAGAGATCGTACAGCTTTTTGTTGAATACAATGCAAATTGGATTCATTTGGCATAACAATAACTTGCACAAAATAACAGCTCATGTTTTTGTTGTATTTTTGATAACTTGTGCAATGTGTTTATGGTTTTTAGTTACAAAATCTAAGTCCTATTTTTATATTGCTGATTTTGTACATGTATATATCTTTTAAAGTGTTATCTATTGTGCCTAACATGTAAATATGAATGTTCCACCAATGGCTGTCTTTCATATAAAATTGTATTTGTATGACCCACGTTTGTGATATAATAAAAAACATTTTTGAATTGAATTGAACTAAATAAACCTTCATCATCACCATCAATACTACCACTGCCATCATCACCACTACCACCACCACCACCACCAACACCCTCACCATCATCACCACTACAGCCACAATCACCACCAACATCGCCATCACAATCACTACCACTACCACCACCACCACCACCACCACCTCCACCACCACCACCACCACCCCTACCACTATCTTTACTCACCACATCCACCTGGTAGGAGCCGGTGGTCAGCATGCGGTTGGTCCTCTGGATGAAGAGGAGGATGTTGGTGAAACTCCTGATGGAGTCTTGGTAACGTCTCATCATCAAGTAAGCAAAGCCAACGTAGTAGTAGGTACTGATCTGACATGCGGCCACTTTGGAGTACAATGTCTGCATAAACAAGTACAAGATAAATACTTGAGGAATTTTTTTGGTCTCTTCTTCTTATTATTAAAGATAATATATACCATTCTGGCATGGTTGTATGATACTGTTTCATCAATTTCTGACTGAACAAATAAAAACATATAGCTGTACTAGTTGCTAAAATAATAAACATTTAGTAACTGAAAAATGTAATATGTTTATAATCTAGAAGATTTCTAATCGCAACCTGGCACAACTAACCCAAAAGATAATGTCATAACTCATATACAGTCAAACCTGTCTATAACGACCACCCAAGGGAGACACAAAAAGTGGTCTTTGAAGACAGGTCGTCTTTGTAGACAGGTTCCTTCAGTGCATGTTTCAATGAGAAACCATTATCAAGGGAAACAAAAAATGTGATCTTTGTAGACAGATGGTCACTAAAGCAGGTTTGACTGTATCAGGTTAAACATACCTGTTCATTAAGCTGGATATGTTCGAGGACCTTGATGGCCTGGTAGTAGTCTCCCAGGAGAGAATGAAGACGCAGGAGACCAATCAGACTGAAGTACCCAAGCATCTTGTAGAGAGGATGACGGCCAAAATCAGACGATTCAGACTCAGGATCATCAACTGTAAAAACACAATATAAAACAGGGTTTAAGGGTCTATTGACAAATCATGATGCATCATTAGAGAAAAGGCTCAAAATGAAGTTACCTGAAAATGAAGTTACCTAAGGATGGAGTATGTCACTCTGAAAAATGTACTATCAAATTCAGTATTATGTGTTTTTGCATCAGCAATAAGGATAGTTCATAGCCATAACCATTCATGAGGTACCATGAGATAATGATTCTCAGAGTATTCTAAAGAGTATTAAACACTTTATTTTTTTCTTTAAACTCTCTTCTGGGAGTTGGTACTTGGACAATAGACTAAATGGGTAGTAGACTGATTGGAGATTAGACCATATGGAAATTAGACTAATGACTATAATGATACTCCATTTTATCAATTTACAAGCAATCTACTAAGGAGTGTAGAACGTGGGGAAGACTGCGGACATTCCAGGGCTAGCGCATCAACTTGGTTCTGAACCCGGGATCTCCCAGCTACAAGACCCCTGCTCTACCACTGAGCCATTGCGCCTCCTTTTCTTTAACAGTTTTCTGGAAGTACGCTCTTCTATCAATCAAACGTTTGTAATAAGCAATCACCAGTTTCTTACCTCCAGACCCGTACGCCTCAAGCTGTTGATTGATACCAGACTTCTCTACCAGGGAGTGCAGAACATTGAGAACACTGTGGACGTTCCAGATCTGATTAATGCAAAATGAAAATACGTTTCAGTTTCAAACTTGATTTTGGACAAAGCATACACAAAAAATGCATGATGGATAGGTAGGATCTTAGGTTTTTCTTCCCTTAACAAAATCCTTTTAATATATCTGATAGCAAGAGGGACCTTTTATTCAAATAACAATTTTAATTCAGGGCTCAACAGTTGGGCACCCAACATCTTTCTCAGGACCCTCTAAATTTCATAATTTTCAGATAGGGTGCATCCATACAGACTCAAAAAAAGTTCTGGAACCAGTCTGGACCTTCTCCCAAAATAGAACATTACATACATAAAAGGATGATCTTTTAAGGAGTCACATGCTCTAAATTATTGTTTTTAAGCACAAAGAAATCATTACTCTGTATTTGCAAATGGAACAAGTTGACTACATTAAAGAGCATGCCCAAACGGACACAACATTCTGAGGTTCGACAACACATTTCCTGGCAACAGTTGCTCGTCATCGAATTCCTATACTAACCGAAAAGCTAACATCGACCACGGACTAAATACTATCATAAACCTCACCTTACAAGTGGTTGTATTTCGAGCCTGAATCCTATATCTTTGATAAAACTATTGATTAGAGATGTTATCATGTACTGGGAGCAGACCGAGCAACCGTGTTGCATTTCACTTCTGCCCACCCAGACCGACATGCTGCTCCTATTCCTTGTTCATGTTCTTCTCATATTCTCATTATTTATTCATCTCTTGCCATTGTATTCTACTGTACTAAATTTACGAATAGTCAAATAATTAAAACCCCAAAGCAATGTCTCCCAAGCAAATGCCAGGTTGCCTTTCGATATACCTTTTCTCTCCTATTCTTCATGTACCGTAATAAACTTTGAATCAAATTAAAGAAAAGACAAGACAAAATTTGTTGATCGTGGAACTAGTAGGTCAGCTCATTCTCTACAATACATACCTTTGGATTGGCCTTCAGTACACCTATTTCATCTTCTGACTTTATTGAAAGTTTGCTGCGATACTTGCTGAATTCTTGGAACTTTAAAATAAAAAGAATAGAACACATAATGTACACAATCTTGGAGGAATACATTTGAAATATACATTGTCAGACAAACCCATTCTTTTCCACTTCTTCCTTTTTTCCCCGATCTTTTCAAGCAAGAAGTCCTTTGAAATCTCATCTTTATTTAAAGTGATTCCTTTTTTCAATTGCATTATTCTCTCCTAGTCTTTATCACTGTCTGCCTTTCCTTAATTTCCATCTCTATTATCCAGTCTCCCTCTATCTCTTCAAGCTATATTATACCGAACAAATTAACAATACCTATTCTCACAAATATTACAGAAAATGTGAAAGTATGCTTCTATTAAACATGAAATTAAAGTGATCTTCACACCTGATAGATGAACTCATCAATGATGTCCCACAGCCACTGATCCGGAAGCTTCAGGTCCACTGGACCCCCATTCGCATCTGAAATTATTTTGTACAAGGATCAATCAAGTTGTGCATACATGAATATATTGCACCGTTAGTAAATGTTATGGTAGCACATGAATAACCGCCATTTGTTATAATGATATCATAAATATTGCCAATGAAATTACAACTTCTGCTAGTCATCACAGACTTGTTACTTTATGTACCTATGACAAAGGGTTGCAATATATGAACAAGTGGCAAGACAAAACCTTCTGTGCATGGATAGAGTGATGTCTCTACGATACACTGAAATGACATCTCTGAACGTAATCCAGGCAATGTCAAAGTAAGATACAGTTAGTTGTTAAAAGAGGGAAACAAGAACTTACTGAGGATATAGTTGAAGAGATTACAGTAGTTGTAGTAAGACTCAAACCTCTGCTGCTGGTCTGGACCACTCTAAAAGAGAGAAGAAGAAAAACTAAATCGTTACATCATTTCAACGCTTTAAGATTCTTTTAACATCCAAGTTAAAAATAAGAACATTGAACAAACAGTAAATTGATGAGGAACAAACTGCCTTTCTTGCCTTCAGAAACCAGATGGCCCCTGTTTAAAACCCATGGGAATATGAGAAGTCAGTAGTCTATGGGTTAAATCTGACAAAAATTTTACTTTGACAACAGTCGAACTGGAGTTTAATTGTTCATCTATTCAAAATGGTTTCTTTTTAATAAAACTTTCATCGCTGCGTTTAGCCGTATTACAACAGCTTACAAACAAAATATATAAAACATATTATTACCCGTATCAGACATCTGAGCTGGTCATTTACAAAGCTGTATTGCCCTAGTTTTCAATGGCAGTGGGAACGGATGGGTATATTCTTTGTATTTTCCTTGGTCTCCCTGCCGGTATAGACTTTGCGTGTAGAGACGAGTGAAAATATACCTTTGTATTTTCCACGGTCTCGCATCCGGGCATCTTGTATTGACCACGCCGTATTTTGTCATATTAATTGCGCATCTATTATGCGTACGAGAACCTGCGCACTGTACACGCACTCTATTGTGACAAAATAATCACACCAAATGCACAGTGTTTGCAGTGTATCAAAAATTTTGTCAGGCACTAGATGCATAGTGCTGGTTTGACAAAGTTTGTCCAGTTCTTTGAGATTGTCATGGTGGATTTCTGTATTTGCTCTAGATGTCTGATTTGGATAACAATAAAAATATTGACTGGCTTTACTTTCGGGGGATATCAGAAATATTGACCGCGCTAAAACCATATTGCCCTCGTCTTTCGACTCGGGGCAATATGATCTGAGCTTGGTCAATATTTCTGATATACCCCTCAAGGCTAGTCAATATCATATAAATATAACATGATATATTGAATCTGAAAAATAAATCACCATAAATACAAGAATTATAGCTTATGCAACATATGGAAACATAAATTAGAAAGAAGTAGTATGTATTGGAGGTTGAGCTATTTATAGGTATCTTACCGGAGTCCTGGCCAATATATGCCTGTAGTAAAGCTCCTTGTAGAGGATGAGAAACACTTCATCTGCAGAGAAAAGAAAGATTCAAAGATACAAACAAACAGATTCAATGATTTAATAATTATTATTAAAAAAACAATGGATGTGTGAAGTACATTGATGACACCTGGACTAAACTATCTTGTAAAGAGTTTGGATTCATCTTAAGTTATGATTGGTATCAAACTCATCCGAAAATCTCATAATTTCATATGCTATGCCCCTACATATATATGTATATGTGTGAATCACGTCGATGACAGATATTTTCTTTTATCTGTTTGACTTTTAAACATTCTGATGAAAATGACTACAGATTATACTGTAATCAATGAACCCATAAACTCTAATCAATACACCTAGAACTTGCATTGGTCATCATGATTGGACATCACAGTGTTTTTTGCCATCGTTTACATAATCAACCACTTAATCAAAATTCTTTGTATTTTGATAAGTGAACAAAACATTTTCAATTAAAGTCACATCCTGGTTTAGTAATTGGATCAGGGATACCAGTGAGTTTTATACAATTAGCCTGGAATGAGACCAGTCAGACCACTGCATTTTTAAGCCCCATATATTTATACACTATAAAGCCTTGAAAATGGCACCCATGTTGTATGAATGGGTGTGTGTTTAAGGAGAACATACCATTATTCACGATTTCACCTACTATCTCAGCAGAGGGCCATGATGAATTTTTGAAGTAACTCTCTGATAGCTTGTTGAAACTGTGATCAAAGAAAGAGGATAATAGTTAATAAAATAACAAAAACAATCACAGGGCAGAGAAGTCCAATCAAATATAGTACCCCTGGGGGTGTTTCACAAAGATCCTAAGTCGAACTTAACTCTAAGTTGGACGTAAAATTTATGGAGAGCCATTCGTAGCCTTGAAATAAAATATATTCAAAAGCGAAAACTCGAGTATTTTAGACTTTTCATAAATTCCACTTCAAGAACATAAAATCTCATTGATAATAGAAAATATGAATGATTTGAATTACAATTTTATGTCGTTAAAAATAACTTTTACAAAATATTTTCATAGATGCTAACGGCTTTCCATAATTGTTAGGTCCAACTTAGAGATAAGTTCAAATTGGGATCTTTGTGAAACACCCCCTGGTGTTAAATGCATAAGTGCCCATTTGTGAAGTAACATCCAAACTAAGGCAGTAAGCCTCCATAGTCATACCTCAGCAACATTCCATCATGTACTTCATATACCTCAAAGACATCTAGACTAAAGACATCCATTCATATACTTCAATGGCACATATTTGTTATAATTCGACAGTTCAGAATAGCATACAAAGATTCATAGAAAATCAGGGAATAATGGTAAAACTTTGTGGCATGAAGTGGCATAAGAGGGTGAGAGACAAAAGTGACTGGTTGTTGTTGCTGTTATTGGTTTTTATGGCGTTCTCCATCGTCGTTGGATGATTTTCGCCATAAACTGGGATAGAGATACACAGAAATAAAAAATACGCTGAAGAAGGGAGATGAACTTCTTTCAACTTACGTCGTTTCATAGCAATGGTTGATGTCATAGACATTTTTATCTCGGATATGGCCCTGGAAATCTAGGAGAAATCTCTTGATGTCCTCTGGGACGATGTAGGTAGGGTTTGCTCCTCGGCGAGAGAAATCCTCACCGCGGATTGCAAAGTCCTTGCTAGGATCACCTGTAAAGTGGATGTCAAATTCATTTACACAAGTTGAATTATGAAATAATAAAGAGGTTTTGATAGAAATGTGCAAAATAACTCAAATTGAAAATGACAAAATCACTTAAAATATTTTTGCCCTTTTCTAAACTTGTATTTAAATGAAGCTTGTACAATTATGGTAGTTACACATATTAATAGACCCTATTATGAATTTTGCAGTTCTGTAGTACTAATTGCTTCACTCAAACTTTCTACACTCTGTAAGCATTGTCTTTGAAAAAAATTAATCTAGATTTTCTGATCTTTCTGCATTTTTTAGAGTAGCCACAGAATTCATTCTGGATTGTCTATACTCAAGGACATGTACTCTCTTCTTGATACTAAAGTCTGAAGGTTAAATTGAAAAGAAGCCGACTTGAAAAATATGATTTATCTTTAGGACCAGAACTGAAGACTAACTTTGATAGATTTAATCTAACAACTTACCTGTGTGTGATTCGTATCTGTTATCGTATCCATACTTGTCATACTGAAAGTGAGTGGACAGGGGAAGAAAACAATAGTAAAATGTGCAAAGCAATCAAGAAAAACAGATTTCACAAAAGACTATTTTTAATGAATCATCCGTACAAAACAGATTGACTGTCAATTTATTCCATGTACTAGCTTACAATGTTTTTAAGTTAATGATAGTATAGAATACTAGTTTGTGTTCTCTTAAAAAAACTTAAATTCTGACATGACACAACCCTAACCTTTGTACTTTTGAAATTTTCACCTATCAACACACATTTTTAGCACAAGTGACACAGGCCAATTGGCAATAGTTCTGCTGGTGTGCTTGTCTTGGTTTGGTCCACCCTGTTCTTGGTTTTCTTCTTATCTCCTCCTCCTCTTCTTCTCAGTAGGGGCACTGGTCTGAGAATGAGGATCGTTTTTTTCTTCGTAGTTCTGCGGGTGTAGAGTTCCCGATTCGCGCGCTGGCAATGCGAAAAAACAGATTCTGTGTAATAAAATACCCCCAGTTTACCATCTACTTTTATGGGTTGTCCATCTTCCCTAGGATTTATCGCTCATAACGTGAAAGTCTCTGTACAAAGTCAGTCATTGCAAAAATCTGTTCTCCGCATTGCCAACGGGCGGATCGGAAATAAGAATCGTCCGCGAAAATGCAGACGCGTCTATCCGTGTTTACGAAAGCGATCCTCATTTAAGCGGAGGATCCCTACACTCCTACTGCTTCTTTACCTTTATTACCAGATCTACTGGAAAAATGTATGTAGGGTCTAGTCATTTGTGCAGTCTGGTTTCCAGATTTATCTCCTTCTCAATCTCAATTCTCCTCTTCTTCTTGAAGTTCTTCTTCTTCTGCGAGTGTGACCAATGGTGACTTACACACACACACATGCAATTTACATAACGACTATACTTCAGGATTTATGGTACAGTTATATCACAAACTTTCAAATATCTAAACTTTTCAGGAAAAATATCTAAACTTTTCGGGAAAAATACCTAACCAGCTCTGACTCGTGAGACTGAGAGTGAGACGTGTCTGTCCATGTCCTTGATCATTGACATTGCATTGGTTAAAATATGACATCAAAATGTTACATATGGGACTAGGCCTACAACAGGGTGCGATACGCCAGGCTCTACATATGGCGTTATTTGGTCCAACTATCAACAGAATATACTCACCTTTGACTCCTTATAATCCTTCCCTTGATTATACGACATGTTGTATTCAACACTACTTCTAATAAAACGACTTCGTGGATACGTAAAATTACGTTTTCATTGATGGAAACTGTCGAAGATGGCACACATGTACGGACAGCCTGATAACAACCACGCATGCGCACGAATTATGCAGCTCAGGGCCCCGTCTTACAAAGAGTTACGATTGATCCAAATCAATCGTAAGTCCTCCAATCAATCGCAAGTTTGCAGTCTCCTATCTCTTATGTACATAGTTACGATTGATATCAATCGCAAATAAGTTGTGATTGATATCAACTCTTTGTAAGACGGGGCCCAGATCTCTAGCTCTCGTTCTAGCTCAAACTTTCACGTATGTAATGTGAAAGAATAAAAAACTTGGCTTGTCTTTCGGTTGAAAAGGAAACTTTTCAATCACCAGAGTCAGACCATAGGCATAATTACAATTACCACTGGCGTGTTGTTCGCTGGCTCCAGTCCCCCCCCCCCCCCACGAAAGATCCAAGTCGGCGAACCACCCCGCCAAAAAAAAAAAAGGAAGAGGAAATGAGAAAGTAGAAGAAAGAATATAGATAGGAAGGAACAGATTTATTAGCACTTTTTCCCCATGGAATTTTTTTTCTTTTTTTTCACGAGATCATAAATAAACACAATGCAGCTGTGGCACACTTTTTTAAAAGAAAAATATTGGGTGAAGATCAATAATGCATTCATTGCTGATGTGAATATGGTTTCAGTTAACTTAGCAGCTTATATATAGGGAGGCTCAATACATTACTCCCTCCTACTGCCCCCTCTGCAAGAGTGGCCAAGACAAAAAATTAAGAAAGAAAAAGAAAACTGGAAAAAATGAAGAAATCAAAAGTATACTTAAAAAATGAAGAATGGAAGAGAACGGAGGAGCTAGGTAAGGAGAGAGGACGAAAATGAGAGGAAAATAAAAGGAGAGAGATTTTTTAAATGAATAAAGAGAAAGAGAGAAAAGTGGGGGGTAAGAATACAAAAATCTTATCTAAAGTTAAATCATTGTTCTCTTTTTACTCAATTAAAAAAATAAAGGTTATAATCATTGCAATACACACAGGTTACGTGGACTCTTAAATTCCTCCCTAAATTAAGCCAATTATTTTAAGAATATTCAAAGAAATTCCAATCAAACAATTTCATGAAAGCTTAAAACTTAATCCAAATAATTTGACCGCCCTCAACTTTACAATTGAAGTAAAATAGAAAAGCATGTATTGACTCTCACCGCCCCATCTGGTATTGTCATGAAAATAAAGAATACAAACATAGCACAATCAATACAAAGAATACAGAATACATCAAAACAATAGAAAATGTACAACGATAAATAGGAATGATCTAAACCTTTGGCGATGCTAATCATAAATACAATATGTTTATGAGTTATTTACCATTCAAAGGTGTCAATCTGTTAACCTCCAATATTATATTCTTAGATGAAAGGGGAACCCTGTCTCATATGCCTAGCGTATCATGAGCATTTTCGCCGGTGGTGGTGGGGGGGGGGGGGGTGGTTGATGAATACTGCCCGAATATATAGTTCCAGTGTAGTATCAAGATACACGAGTTAAATATGACAGTAGGGACTGGATAAAAAAATGGTCACTGAAAGTGTGAGTGGGCCGAGATATTAAAAAGGTCCTGTGGCTACAATGTACAGTCGCGCCGGTTAGCTGCAGGTGGACTATTATGAATCTCGACTCAATTTATTTCCCCATCATTCTGCTGATCTAACCTTCCTTTTCTAGAGCTTTTGCAATCATTCATTTTTCTTTTCAATGTTTTCTTTCTTTTTTGCCTTATACTATCCCACCCACCCCCCCCCCCGTTTCCCTCTCTTTAAAAAAAAAAAATTCCACAAAATTCACAATTTCAACTTTGTTAAATATTTTTTAATTTATTGATTTTCTATGTATACTTTGCTTTCAATACGTTTTGTAAAACGTCCTCTGAGGAACTAATACTTAAACAAGCTCTGCTTCTAGTTAGTTCCTATATTGCTATCATATTTGTCTTGTTTAATTATTTATTTGTTGTAATATACTTTTTGTATTATGTTCTGTATGAGAATTAAAACCATTTGAATCATAAATAGCGCCATCTCTCTCTCACTCTTATAAGCCCTACCCCCCCCCCCAAGTCCTAAATAACTATTTTTATCCCCTTTTGTGGCGTAGCCAAATTGCCCTTAAAATTGCTTTTGTTGTATACTTAGTAGATGAATAATTTAAGGGGCCCTTTATTGTATTTATTTTCTACATGTCTCGCGATTTTGTTCTGCTTTCAGGCTATAGCCTAGGAAGAGTGTTTTGCTACCAGGGTTGGATTTCCCTGTTATCTCACCTTTGTAAGCAGTCATTTATCCAGAGGCGACGGAGCAACTTTCAAAGAGGGGGGGGGGGGGAGGGATGGGCACCAAAAAAAAAGGGCGCTTTTTGATTTTAAAAAATGGGAGCCTATACAAATGGCTACCACATAACGGAAAGATACAATTTTTCAGCCATTGACACTGATGGGCGGGAGGGGGGGGGGGGGTTAAGTTTCCCCCATTCAAATATGGTTTATTTCTAATTCGATACCATTAGTGATTTACAAATGTTGCTTTTTTTTGGTTTTTGTCATTACTCGCACCCCCCCCCCCCTCCCCCACCTGGTTGTGATGCCTTTTTATTTTCTGCCCCCCAAAAAATTATGCTCATTAAGCTGCTAGCCATTGGTATTATTATTATACCATTACCATCTAATGAATGTCAAAGGTCGCTGTCAACAAACTTGATGTAATCTGCTGGATTTCCTAATTTGCTCAGCTGTAAATACGAGCAAGCGTAGCGAGTGAGCTTTTGGGAAAGTTTACGGGAGGAAAATGCTCTGTTATTCCCGATGGGCGATTAGGGGGGTACGGTTGGGGTGGCAAGATGTCTCGTCATCGTACTTATTTGTAATAATGACCCCATTCAATTGACTAAGGTTAATGTGCTTTTGCAGTCATTTGCAAATCGACAGATAAAGAAGAAGAACAATTCCGGGGGAAATTACATTTCACCGATTGTTTGCACTTTGCAGATTTGCGAATAATAATGCAGCGACTTCGTCGCAGACTAGCAAATATATTTCAGTCAAAATCTCACGAACAAGCTAACCCAGACGGCAAGGATTTTCTGGTCTTTTTGGTATCTTTCGAAGTCTTAAGAGTGTGGTAAGGTATGCATTTCCTCTCATTATACATTTTTAAACGGAAAATTATAACATTCTGAACTTGTTTTTAAGAATTCTAGTTAAAAACATCTGTCAAAGTTGAGTGGTCGATCGGTGTTGCTGTCTTGCTAGCGCTAGTCTCGCTCGTCGTGTTCAGAGTGTGTGTGTAACGTAGGTGCGTGAACATATCCATGCGTACAGACGCGACTACTGCAGTGCTAAGCTAGGCTAGCTGGCCATTGCTGCATGCAGCATCCTCGATCTACCCCGCATCGCTGGTTGGCCTCTCCCGCTCAGGAGACACAGCGCCAGGGAACATGCAGAAAACACGGCGGAGCTGAGGGCATAGTCGATTTGGTGCTCGAAAGAAATTGAATGCTTGAATATGTAGCATTTTGAATATTGACGTTTTGTACAATAATATATTCTCTGTAATCTTTGATATGGTACTTGATTGTGACTGGACATTGCCATCGGTGCGGTTACTGTGGTACCTGTGCTTGTGTAGTGGAATAATTTAAATGTTGTCTGTTGACTCGTATAATTTAGTTCCAAATTCAACTTTGAACTTTTGAAGTTTGAACTTTTTTTGAAGAAAAAAAAGAAGCCTTTGTTGGGTGTCTACCCTGTCTTACTAAGTAAGGTGCTAGAGTCGAGAGAGAATGACTATGATTTGTTTTCTTCATATTCATCCGAAAATGTGAAATCTTACTCATTTAGAATCTAGATCTAGGTCTAGTCTACTGCTTATTTTTTAAAACTAAATTCTAGATAAAAATTATATAATTTTGATTTAAAGTTAAAACCCTGGATTGGACTTACAAGTGAATTTGAAATCAGTAAAATAGTAAAGTAAGACAGATTCCTTAGTAGTATAGTGGTATGCATCTCCACTCATCATGCGGAAGACCAGGGCTGGATACCCGGCCAAGGAGCAATCGTATACATGTAAAACATGATGATTTTTCCTGTTTGAAAAAGAAGTACCGGTAACACAATTATTACCAAAAAGAATGAGTAATGTTTCCCTGAAACCTGACTCCTTTATTCTTTGCTCAATTATACAGATCAGACCGCCCTCTGTGCGTCAGTAGTAATATTCATGAGATTTGTAACACGGGTAAACATGAAGATAATAAAAGGTTTAAAATCAGTCAGATTATTAATTTTTGTATGAAGTCATGAATAATATGCCAGTAATGTTCAAATAATTTCCAAACAGGGAACAAGATATTTGAAAGGATAGAAAATTGATTTTATTTTTTAAATTTTAATACATGTATGGAGAATCTCGTTGATAAAATTAACAGCACTTGTTCAATGTACATGTATGTGAATAAGTATGTGATACAAGAAGTCATCCAAGATACTCCATTTGCTCCTGCTGCCTGCTATTCCCCAACCCCAACCCAAACCGAAAAACTCAAGATTTTAAGTGCAATTGAGAGAAACAGTATGTAAGACCTACATGTACCACGTAGTTGACTTTGCAAATTAGAGATTCATATTTTAATCGAATGCTCGCTACTTTCAGATATTCATAACTTATCATATTTTAAGTCAAATTTGTGTCATACTTTCAGTTTCATTTTATTTATCAAAGAATTTTTCAAGATTTTCATATTCTGCTTTCGTATTTTTTCTTCTGATTCACCTTTTAACAACCATAAATAGTTCTTTTCATGTACTCCTTTGTTCCTATTGTGTCCTGAAAAAAGTGTATTCACAATCCACATATCATTGAGGATTTTGTTCCAGGTTCTGTTTTGTATTTGGATGTTTAATCATTTTTGTGATTAAAGCTATCTCCTGTTTGTATTTTTTAAATTTTTGCTGAGGTACAGTGAATTAAAGCATTATAAACTCTTTGGGCAGATATAATACATGTCTAAGAATAATGTTGCTCTCAATAGTGGTAAAACTGGTAATTTCCATTTGATGTAGTTTTTATGCTTAATATGACATTGTAATAATATCTGATTTTGTGCAGTCATTTCTTTCAATTACCTAGGATTAAATTGGTAATGCATTTATTACCCAATTGTCCACTTATTTTGCTATTCCAAACATTTTGTACGTTTAAATAAAATGAATACTGTCTTTGAAAAGAATGATTATCAGTGAACAACATTGTTGTTATCAAGTTTAATTAAAAAACCAAACATGTACATTTACACAATTTTACAGTATGTAGACTTGTCACTTCCTATAGAATATACAGTCATGTTGTTGATGTCTAATTCCAATATTATCTCCCATGGAAATTACAATATGATACAGAATGTTAGTGAAAATTGCTTGCAATTTCACCCTTTACTGAGAGAGAGCCTTCCCTCGAGTTAGGTAAACGCAAAGCTTTTAGCCCTAATGGTGTGAATCACTAGTAGGCAGATTTGTGTCGCAGAAATTACTGGATGAGTTGGTGAATAATTTTGATGTTGGTGAATATTTTTCACTGGCCGTCTAACGTAAATGTACAGTATATGCCTGTACATGTACATGTAGTTCCTTTGTAAATCAGCACTCACTAGTAATCTCTTGGTGGGGGGTTGCATTTTATGGTTGTCATTTTGTGTCAACTTGTATATGAAGTTTTGATGCAAGTTTCTTTACAAAAAATATTTAATATATCCAGGCATTTATAAACTCTTGTGATTGGGTGCAAATGTTTGCCTACATTTCATTGATTTTATGCAATCAAGTTTCATAGCAGCACAATCAGAAAATATTGTTTATATCAGTAGCTCCATGTTTATATGAGGAGATAATTACTAGGTGCTCTAATGCTGAAATCTGCTTCATGCACATGTTCAGATCTTGATACTTTCGTAGAAATCGGGTAGAAACAGGAAAAGATCTGTTGATTTGTTTTCCTTCTCTACCCTGAGCTAAAGAAGGAAGACCATTGACCCCGAATTACTAACTTTTGACCTCAAGAAGCATATGGTGCTGACCTTGTTATTTTCATTCTGCAGTGACTTGCTGTTTCCACAGTACTGTACATGTGCACTGTTAGTGATAGTACATTTAGGCTTTTTGTAGAAGAAGGCAATTGTATTTGTTCCAGCAGTCCATATGCAGGGCTCGACGCTAATAATAGGCGCCTAAATTAGGACACTGCGCTGCCTAAAAAAGTCCTGACCCCAAAATTTCATGAAGAAACAATAAAATAAAAAATAAAATAAAATAAATTTGGCTTTTGTGAACAGAGCCAAAAAACGTAAATTCAAACCCCCTTCCAAAATCATTAATGTGGAGCCCTGTCATATGTACATTGGCTTATCTCTTCTTTCTTTCTATTCATTGATGTAGAAATACCCCCATTGCACCACCACTAGGAATGCATGTTTGGGGGATGAAGGAGTGCATCACTTAAGTTTATGTTGAATTATAGAGGCAGCTGAAGAAGCATTTAGCATCAAATTCTAAAACAAGCAATTAGGCAGCGGCCCAATGCGACATTACAAGCAGCATCCGTCTTGGAATAATATAAATCCTCTCTCTGAGTGCAATGCAGGAGCTGATGGAAAACATAAGATGGGAAATATCTCTGGCAATCAGTCCCATTTCCGGCGGCATTTCTCATTTCGCCGGAGAGTTTTCTTGATTACCTACATGAAGTCAAGAGAGCCAAATGAAAACGAGAAAATGGCAGGACTCGGCTCTGTATGGTCTGGATAGATGGGCAGAATGGTTGGGATGCGAGATGGAGGGGGAAAGTGCAGGTGAAATTATGTGACCCTCCCGAGTAGGAAAATATGTGAAAGTATTTCTGATTATGCATTGACATTCAAACTGATAGATCTACACTACATGTACAGTGTATGTAGAACATACAGTATATCTTCACATGTATAGTGTACTACACAATGTTGAACTAATCAGTGTAGATCTTGCATCTGTTTCATATCGTCGAAAGTCGAAACCTTTGTATTAAAATAAAACATATTACCCGGTAGACATAGAGGCCAATACATTGGAGGCTTGTCAATACATTTAGCCTACATACATGTAGGTACACCACTTAGTGTATTCCTGAAGCTTCCAGTTTAGGCTGACAAAGTAACCTACAGTATATCATTGAAACAGGAGGCTATATTGCTTACAAAGACAAATATGAGTAATAAAATAGAATAAAGGACTGTCGTAAACGCCAGGTAAACGTAAAGCCATGGACTTTCTTTCCTTTTTTTCTGGTATGTGTACTTGACTGTCCATCCGTTTTGTATTATCTGTGGAATATATTTTTCTCTTGTGAATGGTTAGGCTAGGAACTTGGGCTTTATTCTTTATTTATTAATGTTGATTAGATTTTATTTAACCTTATTGAAACCTGTGGCAGAAATGGGAATGAATAATTTGAATACAGAGCTTTTTATCTCGTTACTCTGTAAATACGGTAAGCTATTTCACAATGTCACCGATTATATGTACCCTGGATATGCATGGACATGCATGGACATGGTATTTTCTTTACCCTTTCCAATTCCGTTGCCCAAGTCCATCGTGTTTTTTCCAACAACAACCCACTCATCGGGTAGTGCTTCCTAAAAATAGGCATTTAAACCATTGCATTCACTGTGCTATTTGTATGGGACGATGCACATCTTGCCCCATGCAGGGAGAAGACCGAGCATAATGGAGCGAGGGAGTCAGACACGGAGATCCTAAATACACAGTATGCATGCAGCCTGCCCAGGCCTCAATACAGACACACAATGATACACACTCGGGCATAATACCATGCTGTTCTTTGCCAGTTGTGACTGCTTAGTCTTCATAAGAAATACCCTTTCAATTCAACGTTGGTTCATATTATAAGGCAAGGAATGAATATTAGGATTGCAAGTTTAAGATTGCTGTCGTCCATGCATGGTCAGGCTCGTAACTAAGGGGGGATGACCAACCAGCTAGCGAGAGGTCCGCTTAAATAAAATGTTGCCAAAAATTGTACCAAAATTGTACCTTAAACATGATTTTCAGATCGAAAAGCATCGATATTTTCCCTACCCTTCCCCCTGTTCTTGCACTTCGTGCCCTCGGAAGGATCCACTTCATATAATGTCTGCACCCCCCTACTAAAATCCTATTTAAAGGCCTGATTGTATTGTAAGGATTACGGACAAGACACAGTTTGATACTCTACATTTTTGCCTTGTCCTTAGTGATCGCTCTAACAATAACATCATACACCATTTACATATTCATAAAGGCTTACTTTATTGAAAATGCATGATTTACATGTACATGAGGTATTCTAAAAAAAAATATTAGGAAAATAGTCTGTTTATCAGGAGACTAATATTTTCTTTGCATGGTGCTTTTCAAATGTGGAAGTGGCCTTTCTGTGAGGACATTGCCAATTTGATTGATGTTTGTCTTGAACAATGAGAAGGCTTGTTTACATTGAGGCTACATTGAGACATATTAGGTGCTCATGTTCGATAAGATCAGTCTGCATCAAATGAGCATTGCGTCCAGAAAGATAGATGCATTGCTCACCAAATTTATTCAAGTTTTAACTTTTAAGCTCATTTTACACAGCCCAAACACCATTTTGAAAAAAACATTGTTTTTTAAATTTTAATTGCCATTTGCACTATTGGAAAACCTCATATTAACCTAAGAAACCATTATTTGATTATTCTTTTGTGTTGTGTAACTACCCTGCTTATAAAGCAGAGAAGCGAAAAGAGTCACGTGACCAAAAATTGGAATGATTCACCTACGAGTGAGCGTTCACACTGCTTAAACCAGTGATTTTTTTCTTGTGTTTACATATAGTTGCTTAGCAACTTCTGACGAAACATTGGATTGTGATGGTGTAAATGTAGCTTTTGTTTCCCTTTTTCTGGCTAAGTTGACTTAAAATTTAAGATCTACCGGTAATAGTTTTTCCTTTGATTGCACATGCGCTAAACAATGAATTGGTCTCATTGAAATTATGGCAAAAATATTTGTAAGCCTCGTGTATACATTATGTAGGCCTGTATCCTGCATATAATCTATGGCATAATATACTAGTATATTGTATTCCACGAATGACGAATCCTCATTACTCTGTTACGAATTGGCCTGAAAAAAAAGAAATTATACTGTGCAATCAGACGTTTAATTTATTTCCACTTTATTTTTAGGGTTCTAACACCACAGCTGTGTTTAAAAATTGAGGTTTCCTTCAAGGCAATCTGTATCAAGGACAGGCCTATTATTTTTCAGTCTAAGCTATTTATAAGGTTTTTGTGGGCTAATTTGCTATTCATTTCTACCTTAGTGCATGACTACATGTAAGTTCAGAGGTCATGGCTCATGGCAAAGCAATGCTACTGTAAGTCATACATGTGCATTGTGGTACTTGTCTTATTTCTCTATTTGTATGTGACTGGTGACTACATGAAGACCTACTGTACAAAGTGTACATGTGCATGCCAGATGTTTCTAGTTTTGCAGTTGAAAATGAAATTAGATTTACTGCCATTGGCTAGAATTGAAATAATAACAGATTGACAGTCTGAGGCATTTATGAATGTACATGTATTTTGGCCTTAGACTGGTAAGTTGTAGTACAGTTTGCTTTGCTGCAACACTTATGAACCTCAGTTGGATGATGCAAAACTTCTGTCTAGACTGGTTCTAGAACAATTTCATTTAAATTAGATTGCAAGTGAGTTGATACTGCTCATTGTGTGTGATTTTTATGATTTATTTTCCAACTTATGTTCTGAATTACTTGTATTTATCGTGATGAAGAGAAAGGAATTCAAATTTGTATTAACATTTTAGGACAGGTTAGGAAAATGCTATGCAGCTATGCAAACACTGTTGGAAAGAAAATTATTTAGCAGACAATGGCCTCATTGAGATTAAGACATGGACAACTTTTGTACATCTTGTAATTCTTGTCATTCTTTTCTCCATACATTTTTTAAAATTCTGTAAAAGGGATTTATTTTTCTTATAGTCCCATAATGTTTGCACCATAATTGCCTAAGCCTAACCCGGTCAAGAATACTAATCAATGTTTTCATCTTATGATCTACCCCTACATGTAGGTACCACTGCTAATATGCTACCAGGCCTCATTGGTCGTTCCATCCATATGCCAGTCGTTGTCGTTGTGGTGGACAGCAACCTGCCTGCTTGTATGGAATGATTGACCCATGGAATTCTAGCATCAATCAGCCACACAGGACGCATGTTGCATTCTCCCTGCTCCTCCAGTCCTTGTGATTAATGAAAGCCTGGGCTCGTTCGGCTAGCTCAGAGTACCTCGCATAAATCAGCGCTAGAAAGAAGAACTAGGAGAAAGAATTTCATCATCGAGGGGAAAATTCATCTCAGCTCAGTCAAGAGTTTTTCATTTTGGTTGGATGGACGGTGGAAGAGCAGAGCGGGGCAGTCAAGTAGGAAAATAAGCTGGCAGTGAGAGGAACGAATCGCTGTTGCCATGGATTAATGGAATTTACATAATAAGCATTGCTCAAATATTGGCAACCATGTGGAATATGCACTTCGTCTGGTGACATATCTTGATTGGTAAGATATCCATCTTTCTCATTCTAATTAGATTTTTTCTTCTTCTAGATATTACAGGTGGCAATGTCGGTTATGAGTTTTTAAAATTGTATTTGTATACTGTTATCGTCTAATTTGAAGGGGGGGGGGGGGTGGTTGCGGACTGATTTGCTCTCGTACCATTTGTTCGTATTGGTTTTTTATCTCGGTATTGTAATTTAAATTTTGTCTTTTACACAACTTCTCTTCCATATTGTGCATATCAATGGAGACTCGCTTTATGTACATGTATGATACACATTGGAACACCTACCTGTGTGTAAAATTTGATTTCTTTTTAGTAGAAGCTCTTTTTGGACTTCCCTGTAGGAAAAGTGGTATAACTGGAGAGTTAATTTATTTTTTTTCCAATTTGATTTAAGATCTCCATTTTGCTTCCCAAAGTGAAAGTGCTCCCCCACTTTAGTCCATACAAGCCATTGCTGTGCTGATGTATGTACGCAAGATACCTTATCTGTGAAAACTCTCAAGCATGGCTTTTTCTTTAATTGTTTGAGTACCTGCAGTAATTGTAGCGTGATGCATGAACATGTATGCGCACAATGGACTACAACCTTCGCCATTGATGAAAATTTCATTTCAATACAGTGCTCCACTCCAATCTGGCCAAGGGCATTCAGGGCAGAAATCAACAGGGAGAGGGCTTGGTTGCTAAGTTACTAATCCATGTGGATACTTGCTTCAGATACTCCTATAAAATGGCCTACAATAGTACAAAGGCTGTATAAGTAAAGGTATACATGTAGGCTGTAGAGTTTATTCTTAAATGACCATGAAAATGCCCAATTGGCAACAAGGCTGGAAAACGTTTCCATTAGAATTTTGTCCACTCTGACATTAATAAACATATTTTGTGCTTGAAATAAAAATATGTTAAATTGATATTGAGTTGCAGAAATATTTTTGTTTTGTAAGAAGGGCCTCCTAGATCCTACCGCCTTTGTTATGTTTGTAGTCCTTATGAAAAGTGGACTTTGGATTCGTGATGAATAATAAATAGGATGGCATTGGTCACAATCACTGATGATCAATAAACCTGTTGCGATATAGGATCTACAACCTTATATTTGATTGTAGATTGTAGGCTCTTAGTTTGCCATGCGTCATACGAATATTGGAAACATTTCATTTGCCAGCAGCAAATTTGTTTCCGCGAAGACTTTGCATTTACAGTTGAAGACTGTATTCCCAAGGCAAGAGCAACCCGGCATGTTGGAATGTTCAATGCTCTTACAAATATAATGTACAACGTGTGCATTGTTTTACATTTAGTATGCACTGCAATGCATTTGAGACACACAGGACTCGGGCAATACCCACACATTTCAGTTTTCTTTTTGTTGTTGTAAACTCTGAGTAGAAAGGCACAGAACACGCTGGGGTGTTTAATAGGTCCATGGTTGGAGCGTGCAATGATCCATGAGTCTCGGGCACTGAGGCAGGGGCTGTGGGAAGAATGTGACCTGGTAGAATAAACATCACAAATGTGGTCAGCTTAAATCATAGTCTGGTGTCCAGGCTCAAACATTTGTATTATCACACTCCTATTAAAATCAAAGACAGGAAAGGGCATTCATGTTCATGTTTTAAGTCCAGTACATTGTACACCATGTACAGTACATGTAATATACATTGGCAGTTAGGCATTCATATAAAAATTATGTGCAGTCAACCTGTAGTGTAGTCAGGTTTGTACCTCAAAATTACATGTAGGGTTACTGGGCTGCATTTACCATTCACCACATGCCGAAATTTTAATGAACACATGCGCCACAATTTTGAAAGAATAACATATCCAGGTAGCGGCCATAACAATCCATGGGAGCGCTGAGCAATTATGCTCTGGAAAGCTAAAAAAAAACTCTGGTCATGTAACAATAATATACTTTAAATAATCATTGCGAGAAAATCACACTTTTACCATTCCAAATCCTAAAAGATGTATTTTTTTTACATTGCCAGGTACCAGTACATACATATTTTGATTGTCTGATTAACATACAGGTACTTGTATGATTATATTTTACTTTCCCATCACTCCTGTGCAATCAGCTCATTCAGCTGCCATGTGATCCAACACCACTCAGCTGAATACCAGAAGGATACAGAGTCAATAGACTTTCCATTTTATAACTGCTTTCTGGTACTCGGCCAAATCTGGATTATGTTTGATGGAAACAGCTGGAAGAGTAATCAAGACGTAATCGCTGAAGAAGCTTGCCTCAGATCTACATGTACATGTACATGTATGTGAGAACAAGTAGAGCAGAGCATTCACACTATACAATGAACATGTGTACATGTATGTAGAAAAAACTCATCTTCTGGAATTATGTGAAATTGAATTCTTGAATACCTTATTTGCCGGCGATAAGGCCGCACCACCGCATAGGCCGCATCCCAACTTTGACATTTCAAAGAGGAAAAAAAATAAATAAATAAATAAGAAAAAAAAAAACATACGGTCATAACAAAATAATCATAATTTTCTCGAAAACACTATTTTTTTTTTACAAACTGATACCAAATTCATGAATATTCTTATAATTTACCGGAAGTTTAGCTAAAAAAGTGATCACTGGCAGATTTGGTGTCCGATATATACCCCTACCACAATGTACGGTGTAATGCGAAACTGCATAAAATGGAAAAACAAAATGGCGACTTCAGATGGATGTTCGCGACAGCTCCGTTATTAAGGGTCCCTTCCTTTAATTATGCAATGCATTGGCACAAACTTAGATCAAGATCTATCGCAAATGTTGTGTTAGCACGTTTATTTTCGTCTTCATGTCAACAATGCAAATTAAAATTAAAATTGTCGGTAAGATGTGTGGAAATGTCCTGTACCATAGTGGTATAGTTATTTTACCGTTTCTAGTCCCATATATGCAAATTCGTGCTGGTTTTGACTTTCGTTTTTTTTTTTTTTTTTTTAATCTTTCGTCGTAAAGGCCGCACCTCAACTTTTTGATATTTTCTCTTCCAAAAATATATGCGGCCTTTACGCCGGCAAATACGGTACAACGAAAACTGGACACCTTCAAATTTTTTAATTTTTTGTTGGGGGAGGGGGCGGGGGCGGGGAGAACTGGGGGATAGTAAGTTACATTAAACATACCCTACAAGGCCTACATGTACACATTGTATACATAAAGTGTTTAATATGTACATGTAAAGAAAAACAAATCTTTATGCTATTTCCTAAAGTGTCCATGTTATAAGAAAAGAAAGTTATAGAATTACAAATACAACTCAGAAATGAGTTAAGGCCTATAAATGTTTGTATTTTGTAATTCATACACGTACATGTAGGATACTGTATACCCCCCTGTACTTGGAACAAACAAAATCAATCATAAACTGGCCTACATTTGTACATGTAGGCTTAGTACTAGGCTACAATAGTCTGTCCTTGTAATGTTCACAGTTTCACACTACACTTCTAACAAATATTGTCAAAATTCAACCATGATAGTGTAAAGTAGAACACACTAGTAAAAATAAACACACATCTACACCTGTACATTACAGGTGCATTCCTGGAATTGGAATTCAAAGAAAAAGGCATTTTGCAGGTCTTTATTTTACTATTATTATTATTTTGATGCCTATTGTTATAACATGACTGCAGATGGCTCAGCTGTCTCTTGACAATGATGCAGTGCGGTGTAATGGAGCACTGGAATGGAGATCATAAATTAGGTCAATGGAATTCTGAAGGACCATCAAGTTACCATCAAGCCCATGCCAAATGGAGGATCCAAAATTATTCCAAATGCATTCGTCATACCAATGAACAGTCAACATTAACATGCATAAACATACCTGTACGCCTACTGCACAATGCATATGTACATTTACACGTACAACATGTACACATACTGTACATGTACCGGTACGCATTTCAGGGAATTTGCATACACAAGTACATACAAATTATAAATATGCGTAGGCCTATTTGGCACAATATAATCTGAAAAATTTACAGACCACATCTACAACATTGTTTACATTTTACATGGACAAATATTGATTCAAAACAATCACTAATTACCAGTGTGTGGGCATCCCATTTCATGACAATGTTTATTATGATGAGTCATATTTACCCTGGGTCTTTAATTACATCAATACATACAGCTGTACATCTTCCTTGTGCAGGCCACTCATTTTTGTTTTCATTTGTTTGTTTTTATTTTTTTTGTTTCATGAGAAAACTTGCAAGTACAGTATGATGTACTGTAGTCAAAGAGTGAAATTATTTCTTTAAATAGTGAGAAAAAGTTATGATAATTTAATATCCATATCTCCTTCTGAGATTTTACCAAAAATAAACAAAAAACAAACAAATTAAGAATACTTTTGTTGCACCAACTGATGATTATTGTGTTTGAATATGATCCATGCATTCTCGGATAGTTCCTTGCATATTTCCAAAACTTCGTAGTGCCTTTACATGTATCTACTCAGACATGCCCTCTGTCTCCCAGTCTGGCCTCACGGTATAGGGAAGCAAAAATATCTTGTCTGGGTGAAATTATAATTTGGAATATTTGGATAAGCAGAACATATGGCTACATGTATACTGTAGTGTACGTATCAGTAATGTGCAGTGTCGTCCCAAGAACATTCATGTGAATGCTGTCTAAATATACTGGTTAGTTTGTTTATTGAGATTTCATCTTCATTGCCTGTCACAGAGTTTCAGTTGTTTGTTGATCACATCATTGGCAGAATGTTGAATTTTATACTGTTAAATGAATCAAGCCAAGAAATGAACAAAACTAGCATTAAAAGACAGTTCTATAACATGTACAGATGTACTGTACATGTTATATTGTAATGTACATGTACATGTACAGTACATCTAGAGTCTAGACTTACTCACACATTTGATTCAAATTTGATTCATATTCAAATTTATGGATGTTTCTTTCCTGGGGACCTAGTGACGAGTT